AGAGGAACGTGCGCGGTCGGTGCTAGCCTGCTTGAATACATTCAAGGGCAGGACAGCGGTCCCACTGATACTTTTTCAGAGGCTCCTGGGGCATATGGCGGCCGCAGCGGCACTTACACCGCTCGGCCTGTTACATATGAGACCGCTCTAGCACTGGCTTTATGGCCGAGTCCCAAGGTGGGCGTGCGGGTCCAAGTTACACCGGCCTGTCGCCAAACCTTCACCCCGTGGTAAGATGTTGCGTTCCTCCGAGCAGGGGTGCCCCTAGAGCAGATCTCCATGCATGCTGTGGTCTACACGGATGCCTCCACCACCGGGTGGGGTGCCACGTACACCGGGCATGCAGTCTCAGGGGTTTGGACGGGCCCGCAGCTGCATTGGCACATCAATTGCCTAGAGTTGTTAGCAGTGCGCCTGGCCTTGAACCGTCTCAAAGGGCGCTTACGAGGCAAGCACGTACTGGCCCGAACGGACAACACAGCGGCCGTTGCGTACATCAACCGACAGGGTGGTCTGCGCTCCCGTCGCATGTCGCAACTCGCCCGCCACCTCCTCCTTTGGAGTCGGAAGGTTCTGAGGTCACTTCATGCTGTTCACATTCCGGGCCTGCTCAACCGTACAGCCGACGAGCTGTCTCGAGCAATGCTCCCAGGAGAATGGCGACTCCATCCCCAGACGGTCCAGCTGATTTGGAGACGTTTCGGAGCCGCTCAGGTAGGCCTGTTTGCTTCTCCAGAAACCTATCACTGCCAGTTGTTTTACTCCCTGACCGAGGGAACACTCGGCACAGACGCACTAGCACACAGCTGGCCGCGGGGCCTACACAAGTATGCATTTCCCCCTTATTATACTCACGCTGTGATCAGCGGCAGCTGGATGCAATATTTGCATGCCAATTTGCATTGGCTCGTTTAGTTTACACTCGAAGTAGATTGGTCTATCGAAGCGATATCCCAATTTGTCGTCACGACGTGACGTCTCCGTTCCCTCCTTCAGGGAACGAGGGTTACCATACGTAACTGAGACATTATTTCAACATAAAAACATCAAATTTGAAATGTAACGCAGGGAATTCTGGGAATGTCAATTTACGGTTATTCACTGTAAATTATACAGTCTTTTTCACTTCCAAAAACGGTATACTACCATAAAATTAATGTCCAATACAGTTTTTCACTGTATAAGGGAATTTACCATTAACCATTTAACAGGTTTTTACTGTAGCATTTTTACAGTCTTTTACAGTTAAATTCACGGTATTTTTTTACAGTGTAGCTGAGCACCAGTGATAATAATTACAATACACAGCCAAATGAACTGTGCTTCCGAACAACACAGAGTAATGTTGTTTTGTTTTAAAAAAAATCAGGATATGTTTACACAACAATGATAAACAGAAAATTTTCAAAAATTTTCAAATTTTTTGTTGAAAACGGAGTCATGTAAACACCCCCCTCAGTGTTGTTAAATGCTTCGGTTGAATGAATGATTCAGTGACTCACTCATAACACCATTGTATTTTTGTATTAAACTTCTGACCTCTTTTATTTCCTTACTCTGGATGGATATTGACAATGTTGTCAATGTAGTCAAACTAGATCTAAAATAAGGCCTACTCATCAAAAACATTTCATTTACAAGTGACCATTAAGACCAGAGTCATAAGATCAGAGTCACAG